CCAATTCCTTATCTTTAAAACCACCTAGAGCTGGTAATTCGGAAAAGCTGGATGGATAAATGGAAAACCAGATTCTGATTTCCTCAGGAGAATCAGTTTATAAATCCCTGCTGGATCATGGAAATTAAGCATTTCCCCAAACCAACCTTTTCTTTTGCCCTAGGATAACCTGATCAAATTTCTTGGCTTCATTTTCTCTATTGGGCTAGAGGTAATGTGAAACTGCAGAAGCCTTGTCAGATCTAAAGCCAATTTCAAAGGAAAGCCAGTTCCTTGGGGGAAAGGTGGCCATGCAAAGGCAAGATTGTGCTAATAGTTAAATTCTGTCTTCAAATGCCACCAACTGTCTTAAGAGAAAATGATATAGTGGGAGAGAAAAAGAGAGAGAAGCAACCTGAGGGAAAAAGCAGAAATGAATAACAACAGCATAAAAAGGAGACAGAGGGGAATCAGTGGAAGAAAGCAATGAAAAACAAAAGCTCCTGCATGTTTTCAGAAATATGCTAGCCTGGCATCCACAAGCTAATTGCAGACTGGTTTTTCACAAATAATTGGAAACATTTTTCATGCTGATTTGTGAATATGTGAAAGAATTAATTCAAGGTGATATTTCATACCACCTTCCAAATGATTCTAGTCACATGCATACACACACACACACAATATGACTTACTAGGAAAAAGTAGCTCCTTATTTACTTCATATGTCAATTTGTAATACTGACTTAAATCCTTTGTAATTTTGGAGAAAAATCAGCTGGTATGTTGATAAGTATTAGCTTTTCTACAGTATCAGCTATTACAGATTACAATGTAGCAGATTATTATTGAGCAGATTACAGACTATATCAAAGTATTACATAGAGAAATGTTTGGCAAAGAAATTTTTGGCATTACATGAATATGTATGAGTAAAATATTATTGAGAAATGGTGCAGAATAGAAATATTCCTGTTTAAAGAGCTTTATCTCATAAAATTAGCTTTGAATTAAAGAACTGTAAAGTATATGAATGCTAATCAAAAATATGGGTATTGTTTACGTGGAAATTACCTAATGGTAAATCATCTGTTTTCACCTTGAGTGGCCATAAATCCAACATAAATGCAAATTAAAATATAGCAGCATTCATGTAGAAGTTATTAAGAAAATTGTTGATTTAGGAAACTTCTGAACATAGCTTACTTTGGCTTAATTAATTTTGAAATTTCCAAGTAACCAAAGGAAAAATGAAGGGTTTTTTTTTTCAATTGTTTAATGACCCAAGTTATGCAATTTGCAGAAGACACAAATCACCGTTTTATGTCCTCAGACCAGTTACTTCCTCGTACTTAGAATAGGACCAGGGATATTAAGGATTTAATTCTTTCTTTCTTTTTTTCTTTCTTTCTTTCTTTTTCTTTTTTTTTTTTTTAAGTAAGCTCCATGCCCACCATGGAGTTTAAACTCACAATCCCATAACACCAAGATCAAGAGTCCCGTGTTTTACGGACTGAGACAGCCAAGCACCCCAAGGCCTGTAATTCTTTATCTCTCTAAGTCCCATATGCTTTTTGTTTTTGTTTTGTTTTTTTAAGCTTCTGTTTTCTTTGTTTACACTGAATGTGAACATCCAGAATATCAAGTCATGATGATAGTAGCTGCAGGTCTTCATTGGTCATTCTGTCTCCTAATTAGGTGGAACAATGGTAATGATCCTAAATTTTCATCTATCTCAGCCTCATTTCCATTCTTACTTCATTATGGCTATCCAGATAGAGTCAAGTATTTAACTGAAGAGATTATCTGGATAATGCAGGCAAAAGAAATCTTGTGTGTGTGCGTTTGTGTGAAAGAGAGAAGACCCAGTCTTGAATATCAAGTTTGTCTTTCAAATTAATCAAATTTGTCAGAAAATTACTCATTTGATGCCTACAGGGTTTAGTGGAAAAATCATTTAATATCCTTTTGATGACAATGAGAAAACACAAAGCTCACATAATTTTTTTAAAGGAAATTTACTGGCTCATTTATTTTGGAATTCCAATAGAGTATCTTGGCATTCTGGCATGGTTGGATCTATGGACTCAAGTAGTCAGCTTTGGCCACTATCTCTTTCTTCATCCCCATGAAATTACTTTGCTTGCTTTTACGTTTTTGTTTAGACATTCCCTGTGTGATGAGCAAGATAGTCTCTGAAGCTACAGATGCATAACCTACCATCTTAGCAATCCTGGAAAAAGGTGATACCAATAGTAATAACAATAGTAATAATAGCTGGTATTCAGGTATATTTACTGAAAACTTAATTTATGTTGAGACATTTTTAAGTTCTTTAATATTCATTCCTCATCAAAAGAATGTTATGAAGTGGTGTATTATTCTTCATATTTTACAAATGAGGGAAGAAAAATAGTTTCTTAGAAAAATCCATTAGAAAATTTGAAAATCTCTAATTGACCTAGTTTGCCTAAATTCCTAACATAATCAAAATGTAAGGTAGCCCAGTTCAAATTTCACCCTCATGACCAAGGGAAATGTGTAATATTCTTGAAAGAGGAAAATGTGCTAAAACTACCAGTCCTTTACAGGTTAACAATTGAATCAGGTTATGATCCACATCTAAATGTCAAAGGCTAAATTTGAATTCAACAAATCATTGAGTATCATATGTAAAACCTTGCAAGAAAGGCGTAAAAATTTAGGAATGTAATTTTACTCTAGATTTAAGGAGTTATAAGCAAATAGACTAGGGACCAATAAGTAAAAAATGCAGAATTATAAGAAAATGAGTAGAAACAAAGTGCAAATGAAGAGTAACAAGGTTGAGAGATTGCATGCAATAGAAAAAACCCAATAACAATAAAACAATTACAGTAGCCAATTTTATTGAGAACCTATTATGTGCAGCACATTTAACTAGCCTGGCAGATACTTATATTTCCCACACTATCTAGAAGAAGTAACTGAAGCTGAGTTAAAATATGTAACTCATGTAAGGTAACATAAGTATAAAATTACTGAGCCTGGATTCAGTCCAGGACATCAGACTCTATGATACTCTCTCACAGATGGCTTTAATTCCTGAATAAAATATGACATCAATAGAATTTACTTAATTTACTTCAGAAAAAAAAAATAAACCATGAACTATCAGGATTCTTTATATCTTACACATTTAAATAATTCTTTAATATTGCCTTGTAAATTTGTCATTTGTAATTCCAATTTGTAATTTGTAATTCCAATTCCAGAAAATGTACAGTCATATTCCACCATAAATTCAAAATATAATCCCAACATTAGTTATAAATAATATTAATGAACACACAATAAAATCCCAGTGATATTGCTGCAGTCCAGTGTGAAATACAAGCCCAGAAAGTACCATCATATATCAAAATAAAAATACATTTTGCTAAGTTGGTAGGAATGGTATGTATATATTATTTCATAGCTACTGTTTAAAGACCAAAAGGTCTACCTGTAGATTGTGGCATGCCTCCTTCAGTGTCAGGTAAAATGTTAAGAACCATCCTTTGAATTTTCAAAAGGTATCTAATAGTTTATCACTGCAGAGTTCATTTGGTATCAGTTAGTCCCTTTTTCTTTACAAGGTTGGAGCTGGGAACAATTCAAGGTCATGTCACTTGGCAAGAAAAAACTTAGAAAGAGAGTATCCCATGCAGTGAACTTCAAGAATAAGTTGTAGTTCACATTCAAAGACAGAATGATCTGCTATTTTAGCACACTATCCCAGAGTATACTTTATAGCATGTGAGGATTTTACAAGTTTAAAAAATTATACCTTTAAATTTTATTTTCAGGTGAAGTGAAACTGTCTCTGTCTTTGCATAGGAAGAAGTCAGTCGTGAATTTATTTTTTATTATTTATTTGTATTTTTAATTTTTTTAAAGTAGGCTCTATGCCCAGTGTGAAGCCAATGTGGGGCTTGAATGCACGACCCTGAGATCAAGACCTGAGCTGAGATCAAGAGTTGGACACTTAACCAACTGAGCTACCCAGGTGCCCCAATAATAACTTTAATGTGATCAATATCTTATTTTATTTTTTAGATTTTGGAATTTTAATTTCTTTTGAATATGTCACTTTTTGCAAGCTACAAAACAAAATCAAAGGTCTTGCAATCTTCCCTAGAAGGACATCAAATACAAGGTGCTAATAGTGGGTTTATAATCTCTAAATAATAACCGCTTTTCACTTATCTACTTTTTTTTTCCTTAGGAAACAGCCCAAAGTCCAGTACTTAAAGCATGCTATATAGAACATCTCAATCTACAAAGAACAGAATGACCCAAATTATATGCTGGCCAATATTCTGGTGGAACAAATCAAAGCTGACCAATGACTGGTGAATGGAGAAAGTGTTTACCTTTTGGCAATTTGCTCTGGGGTTTACATAAAGTCCTGGCTGCTGTTAATAAGAAAGCAGGTAAGAAATGTTACAGATGCACCCTCACATACTTGATTTTGCCAAGTCCTTCTACTAGAATACAAAATTAGAGATGAGTGTAGGGGTAAAACACTTAGATGTCTTCGAAACAAATTATCAGTAACATGAAATTTGGCATACTGAATTCTTCCATTTGCCACCAGAACAAACCGATAATGAGGATTATTTAAAAGAAATGCTCAACTATGAAAAGGGTTGTAGTATTAATACTTTCTGCTACAGAATAACCTCTGGCTTTCCCATACCATTAACACAGCTACTCTTCCAAGATACATATGCACTTGGAAAAGCTTGTCAGCTTTTGCCAGGGCAAGGAGATGAAAAATAGAGCATGTCCTGATTAGTTAATTTGTGATTGTAAGTTCAGTTGACATCTTGGGGTTTGACTCATAAAATCTGGCCATTTTTTGTTTAACATCTGCAAATGGCAGAATTCTTTAGCTCTTAGCCACAGTTTCCTCTCAATATCTTAAAGCTGGGCTCAGTCCCATCTGTGACTCATCTCCTCAGGCTTGAGGGTGGGAACTAGTAATCAAAATCTGGAATGTCATTGGTAGGAGTAACCCCAGTAGCCTTTGGATGCATAGTAGGAGATATGCAGGTGGTACAATTCTGGCAGGAACACCAGGATGCCAGTGATCAGGACTGAAGGACCCTGGTCTGCCCCTGCCACCCACCACCCTTTTTTGAGATAGCCAGCTAGCAGGAGGCAGCCTATGATGAGAAAGACGTCAATCAAAAACAGCACTATAGCAAGTGCAATAGCCTCATATGTGACCCCATGAATGTTTTTCTTAAACTCAAGGTCAATGTAGTCATCATCTGTGCTGGAAAGCCTTGAAAATTTTACTTTACTACTGGGGATTCCAGTAACCAGGTTGGTAGAAGACAGAATCATAACAACACGACACAACTGCAGTCAGAGTACTGCACCAGGCTGCCCCCCACACCAACTGCTTGCTCACTGGTGGCAGTGGAGGCACCTGAGGCCTCATGGCACGTCTCACCTTGTAGCCATCCTACTTGCCAATAATATATATATATATATATATATATATATATATATATATATATAATTTATGATAGTCACACAGAGAGAGAGAGAGGCAGTGACACAGGCAGAGGGAGAAGCAGGCTCCATGCACTGGGAGCCCGACGTGGGATCGATCCCGGGTCTCCAGGATCGCACCCTGGGCCAAAGGCAGGCACCAAACCGCTGCGCCACCCAGGGATCCCTATTATCAATATTTTAAAGATCACTTTAAATTTGCCTACATGTGTTAGGTACATTGATATTGAATGCATCCTCTAGGACTCTATCTAGCACAGTGATATTTTGCACAATATCTGAAAACTATAAACACACTAGGAAGACACTAAGAAGAGCTTATGGGCCACAGACCCCAGAAAGGGAGATCTTGGGTGACCTGTTGATAGTTCAGGCTCTATATGAGTAAAACAAACAGTCCAAGGACTGTATTTTTTACTCTGTGTCCTGTTGTCTGCAGCATTTTCTGGCATCATCAACTCAAATTTGCAAAGGTGAAAACGTTAATGTTACCAGAAAGCTTCAAAGAAATTTTGCACCAAGTCATTAAAAAATCAATTTGCAAGCACAGGGAGGATATCAGGTATTAGTAACAGCCAACTCTTATTTATCAAGTTAGATAAATCCATTTTTTTAATAACAAAGAACTGATCCTGCGAGTAGGGAAATTTCAGAGATAAGAATTCCTTTTATTTTTGTTTTGTTTTGAACTTACCCTCACATGAAGTTTTTACTTACAAAATGGTTAAGGATATTACTTTTGGAATAATAGTTTAGAGAAAAAATGCTAATGTGCTTGTTACAAGTACATACATGCTTGTATCTATAAATACATAACTTCCTGGGGTTTTCTGGAACTTTCCTTCAGTTTCTCAATTCCATATTACCTTGGATTGAGGATGAATATGTAAAAAAGATAAGGAAGAAATATAATATATAATAATAATATATATAACATAGTGTGGTATACTATACTATAATAAATATAACATAATCCAGTGGCAGGAAACACTTAAGCACATGCATATAAATGGGCACAATTGTAGCTTATTTATTATACACTGAGAACAGTGAGACATCTAGCATTGAGGGATGTGTTGGAGAAGGAGGGTAACAGGAAGAGAAGTAGTCATTGATGATAAGTATTCAGAATGATGCAAAGGAGTCTGATTAATGTGAATGTCGAGTGGGCACTCATGAAGGATTGGAGCAACAGAAGTGGCATGGCTCTGTAAGTGTGACTTTCCATGGTGAGTAAGATAGATTTGCAGAGAGAGAAGAATCAAGAAATGAGCTAAGAAGATATTGCAACGATCTAATCATGATGTTGATGTGGTGGCAGGATGGGGATGGAGAGCATGATGGCATGATGCATAGGAAAAAACACTTCAAAAACAGATTTGAGAGAACCTAGTGTCTTTATCTCCTGTGTACCAAACCTAAACTAAGGATTCAAGTTGGCCCATTATGGAAAATGGGAGAGAAGTCCTCATAGAAACACCAACTGTGAGATTTTGGGCTCATTATGTTTTCCCTTGAAAACATAATCAGTTTTTACATCTGTAAATCACATTATCATTAGAGGCTTTCAGCTCTGATATTTTGTTTCTGTACTACAATACACTGGAGGAATGGCCAGAGTTAAAGGGACTGAAATGAGATAAAAAAAAAAAAAAAAAAAAAAAAAAAGGTAAGAATGGGTAGTGGTTTGAATAATGGGCATTTAATACGTACCTGGAATTGTGTTAGTTTTTAAAATACTTATCTTATTATCTTAGTTCTCATAACAAACCAATAAGAGAAGAGGTAAATAAATCAAAGAAGAAAGAAAGAAAACTGAACCAAGAGAACTACTTGTCAAGGGAGGCAGCAAAGTATCCTCTGGAGAAAGATTGGATAAACTGGAAAGGGTAGAAATCTGAGGGTTTGGGGGTTGAGTCTGGCTTAAGTGGCTTGGGGTTTAGTTTAATATGAACTCCATGATAGCTCTTGTTTATTTAACTCCCAATGGCCCATCTGTAGAGAAAGGGCAGCGACACCCATCTTAGTTTGCAGTTACCAGCAGGGCTGTGAATCTTTTTTTTTCCCCCCTGACTTGCCAACCTCAGACCACTACATTCCTGTAACTGCCTCTTTACTACACCATTTCAGTAGCAAATGCATTGTTTTGCACCTCTCTTGACCAGGAGCAAAGTAGGGAACAATTCTTTAGATGACATTAGCACTTGAGTTTAGATTAACGATGCCAAATCTGATTTATATTGTCTTTCCCCAGCCATATGATCTAGCATTCTCCTTGCCCTTTCAATGCAGCTGTACATTAAGCTGCATGCTTTAGAGGTTTTCTCCAACAACTCCCAGACCACTTTCCTAATCAGTATTCAGCAGTATCTTTCCTTTCAGCAGATGCACATTATTTTCTTCTCCCTTTGTTCCTATATTTATTCTTCTAAGGTTTATCCACATTGACTGCCTTTGCTGTTTATCATCCTAATTTTAATAATGACCCCAAGACCTATAAAAAATATACATTTAAGTTGCTTGACAGCAAAACACACCACTGTTTATAGGAAAATGAAGAGATAACATTTATAAGGAACGCCTAAAAAAAAGACATTGTTCTTCAATTGGGTGATCCAGTATTGACAAAATTTATAAAGTTTCAAGATTTATGATAGAATCTCGTTTTAGCCCCTTAAGAAAACATTTTATCTGAGTGTATATAAAATCATTTTCATCAAGATAGAGACACTGGCTTCAGTTTAATTTTGGAAGAGAAAGAACTAATACATTCTTGCTTTATGAAGTTATTACAAGACTACTTTTTAGAAAAGGTCTGCATGTTATTTTTTTAAAGACAACATTGCAAAATTGTCAGTGAGTTACCTTTAGGTATATATAAATCATTTTCAGCTTTCTTGATTTGAAAATGTGAAAAGCTTCATGAAAAGCAAATAATATGAGATGTTGGTTAAAGATAATAATCTTTTCATTCCCTGGCTCACAGACTGTGCCAGGGAGAAAACACAGGCAAACAAAAGCATTAAGTCCCCAGGCTTCCAAATGAGAAATAGTCATGATTACAATCCATCAGTTCACTCAAGTGGTGTTCGCTGTGACTCACCAGTTGAATTCTGGCTCTAATTGCCATTACTCAAACTATGCCTATTTATCACCAGACAGGACAAAATGGCTGTCTTTGTAGCCCAGCTTTACAGCAGCACATTTGCAACAATCAGCACTTGCGATTGTTCTCATTCATGCCTCCAAGAATACAAATTGCACTGAATGGTGAGAAATAGCAAGATGAGTAATGCTTAATTTCTAAGTCAATCAGATTATGCATCCATCCATCCATCCATCCATCCAATATATATGTACTAGACATTGTGCTGAAATGTTGGGGGAATAAACAGTAATTAAGCGATTTCATTTTCATTTTGGTTGTACTGAAATTGGAAGGATCCAGAGAAGATATACTTGGACTGAGCTGGTAGGTCATGTTGTGACCCAATTACTCAACAAAGAGATTTGTCTTATGTGAATGACGTAAGAAGGTTGACAACCAAGTTATCTATTAGCCTCTTCACCTCTGTGACCATAGCACTGGTGCAAACTTTGTTTGCCTGCATTACCTCAAAGTCTGAGTGACCATCCTCCTCTCTTGTTCCTATTCAGTCAAATCCAATAGAACCACTAGAAGGAGCCCATTAAAACATGTCAGAAAAAAAAATGTCAGAAAACAAAAACAAATACAAAAACAAAAAGCATGTCAGATCGTCAGATCATGTAGCTCTTCTCTTCTTCCATCTACCTTGGAGTTAAAGTTATCACAAAATGCTTATAATGTTCTAAGAGATCTTCATTCTTCTATTGCTGTTATGTGTCTAATATCACTTCCTCCATATTGCCTTCTCTTCCCCCTGCTCCCACCCCAGCTACCTTGCTATTCTTTGAATAGGTAGACTCTTGCCTCGGAATTTGAACTCAATATTCCATCTGCCGGATCACTGTTCCCCAAGATATCCACTTGCGTGGCTCTCTTATTTCTTTCAGGTTTTCACTCAAATGTTCCCCTTCTCACAGAGACTAAATCTGATTAGCCTACTTAAATCTGTACACAACTCCATTCATCAGATTCTCACTAACATACCCCTCCATCCCTTCATTTCCTTTCCCTGCAAAACACAGGATAACACTTGAAAACATGACTTGCTTTATTTTTTGCTTTTATTTATCTGTCCCTTCTCACTGAGTTTTTTTTTCTGTTGTTCTCTGAATTCCCAGTGAAAAGAAGAGTGCATGATGAATCATGGTTTTTTAACACATACATGTGAAATGCATGATTCTTGGGCTACTATCCAATGCTTCTGTCCAAGAAGTCCATTCAGGAAATTTCTTCTCCAAGTATTTTGTGGCTAAACCAAAGCCTATTTGTCCTCTAACTAGATCATGTCCTTTCCACATCAACTACATGTTTTTATTAGACTCATTTATTCATTCGAGATGCATTACTACATCAGGCATTTACAAGGTATCATCTGTGAGATGAACTACAAGTGCTATGCTGGGAATTCAATCAAACTGTGGAGACTCAGCCCTCAAATATCACAGTCCTGGTAAAGACTTACATATAGAGCACAGGTGTAGAATAGTATACCAAGTGTTATTTTGAAGGTCAGCCTGCCATTCCTGGAGTGAGGGGAAGAAGCTAGTTTGGGCATCTAGGAAAGACTCCAAAAAGGAAGTTATTTTGACATAAGCTTGCAAACTAGCAATCAGCAGGCTGCCTCCAGACTGCAGATGTATTTAACATGGAATGAAGAATGTTCTCTTTTTCCTTTGAAGTA